TCTTGTCAATGCACGAGAAAAGTAACAAATAAAAAGAAATTATCATATTTTGCAGGCAAGTTCAATTTTCTTCGACCAGAGTTTATTTCGCAAAGGCTAAGGTTAAACTCGATATACCGGCTGTCTTCTGAATAATCTCTATGAAATTTTACCTGTAAAAACGTACTAGAGTCTAACATTTAACTAAAGCAAAATACAAGTTTTGAAATGTGTCACTCTTCTTTAATTCACCGACAATATTCACAACCTCCAAAATGTATGATTACTTATTGGTCGAGCCCGTAAGTTTGGCAAAATTCCTTTTGTTATTCTTACTATTGTGTTTTTTAACAATGGGAATCACTTATTTGTATTTGTGGAGTTGTATTAGTAGACTTTCATTTTGCCATTTTTGCCTATTTTAGCTTCTGATTCCTGTTTTTGCCTTTTTCGTCATAATGTTGCTTTTTTTTCTCCTGACACCGATCACGATCAAACTGGATATACACCTGCAAGCCCGGACATTACAATGCACAATCGTTGTCTTTCTGTGGAAGCTGAGACTTGAGAAATGGAGATACCGGTCAAGGGTGTTTATTTTTCATTAATGCCGACATGCTTTGTTTGCTTACGAGGAATCCCATTGTACATTTGAGGGCGGCCTCCGATCCCTTTTGAGGACAGCGCTCTGTTTACAATACACCCTTCTCAGTGCTGGCGATTACACAAGTGCGAAGATTGAAAAATATTATTCTGTTTCTTTGATGCCATTTCAAGATTTAAAAGGGAATCAGCAATAGAATTTCGAAAAGACATCGTCGCAAGTAAAAACAAATTCTTAGCCTTTATTCCGGCTTATCATATGGAGTCAAGGTTTCAAAGAAATAAGTTGTCTTACACATTAAGTGCTGATGTGTATCAATTTAATTTTTTACAATAATTCCTTTTAAATCTGATATTTTTGTTTGCATGTTTTTTTTCACCCCTCCTTTGACTAGAATAAATGTGTTTTGCATGCCTATTGTAATAAAAATAAATGTATTTTTGCCTACCTATTTTAGGTAAAATAAAAGCCTGAACTTCCGGGCTCTAGTAGTCTTTTTTCTTATAATAGCATAGACATAATCACACTTCTAGGTTGATGGTCGAAACGTAACTAACGCTCTTTTCGCGTGGCGTGTTGCAGGTGAAGCGATACTACGACTTCAAGCTGAAGCACTGGGACTTGTACCGCGAGATGTACCCCAGCTCGGTGAAGGCGGTGTTCGACCAGGACCTGGTGACGACGCTGCCCCTGCGCGACGAGAAGGGCCGCCGCGTGTTGATTCTGGAACTCGGCAGTAAGTCACTCGATCGCCAATTGCAGCGCTTCGATCGCAAACCTCTCCCAAGAACGAAACACGTCTGCGGAAAAACTAGATATGTTTCAAGTAGTGGAGGTTCCTGAAAGTATTCCGGGTGGAGGGGGACAATATCAGTTAGAACTCACGTGAATATTTTTGAAATATATTTTTTATTTTAAGCTAACAAAAATATTAAGTGTGTATTTTCAATATGAATATGGCGTGGATGTGAATTGTGTGTGTGTGTGTTGTGTGTGTGTGTTGTGTGTTGTGTGTGTGTTGTGTGTTGTGTGTGTGTTGTGTGTTGTGTGTGTGTTGTGTGTTGTGTTGTGTGTGTGTTGTGTGTGTGTTGTGTGTGTGTTGTGTGTGTGTTGTGTGTGTGTGTGTGT